AAATCCTCTGCTGGGGATGGAGGATCTAGATCTGCAAGGTTGGAATCTGGCGATGTGAGAAGCACAGATGGACTTCGTGGTCGAGAACCATGTTCTGAGACCTTGGGATCGAGCCTGGAATCAATAGAACGTTGATCGACCTCGGTGTCGAGAGGATGCTGATCACAGTAATGTTGACAGTGGTCTGCCACTGAAGAGAGTGGCATGTCCTTGGACATTTGTCGACGTCAAGAGTTGACTTGTATCGATGTCGAAGGTGTGTCCATGGACGGAGGTAAACTAGATGGGATCTCGGTGTCGAGGTCTGCATCTCGGTATTGATGGACTGTGTGTCTAGGTTGGTGCTGGTATTGATGGACTGTGTGTCTAGGCTGGTGCCATTGTTAAGGGCTAGCAACCGAGAAAGATCAAAGTGGAGCTTCCATAGACCAGGATGGATATTGAGGGTCGTCGATATTGGAACCAGTGTCGAAAAGGCATCTGACGCCGATTCAGTGGATGCATAGGTAGGTGTCTGACGCCGATTCAGTGGATGCATAGGTAGGTTTGTAGAGTAAATCGAGGCTGGGGATGCCGAGTGAGAGGAGTGATTTCCATCATTTTAAGCTGGAAAATATGTACTCACAGGGGCTGTGAATGCTTTGTGGGTGGAAGCATGTTTCTCGACTGCCGATTTTCATCATATGATGGCTGCGTGCCTCTAAGTGATAAGATCTCTTCAACATGGAAGGTTGTCAAGATGGAGGTTTATGATGTGATGCTAATACCGGACCGGAGGAGGCAGCCGGTCAAGCATCCATAGCTGGCAGGTTAGAGAAGCACTGACCGGGGCAAATGTCTATCCAATGAGCGTGCTGTGTGCGGGATTGATCGACACACGCTTGTGGAATTACCTCATATGATGGATGTGCCCAATAGTGTGCCACTGGCCTTGGAGGCCGGGCCAATAGAGAATAGGGCAATGTGTTCCACTGAGGCTCGGGTTCCTCTCTCTCTGGCTATGATGGATGTGCCTGATAGCGTGCCGTTGGCCTTGGAGGCCGGCCCAATGACAGAGAATAGGGCAATGGCTCCCACTGAGGCTCGGGTTCCTCTCTCTCTGGGGAGGTGTCAGTGGATGGATTAGGAGAAGAGACAGAGTGCTGGGGACTATTAGGCGAGGAAGTAAGATGGTCTACTCGCTCGTCCCATGTCGGTGGCTGAGAAACCAGTTGATGAGATGGAAGTCCTTCATCATCAGAGGGTGAAGCTACAGAAATTAAATCGCCGGGTTCGGAAACCTGTTGTGCAGGGATTGCCGAGGTCTTTGATTTGGTTCGTTTAGATAGTTTCAGTTGCAGGGGGTTGGGATCCGTATCAGAAGGCGGCTTTTGCTTTTCGGAAGGCTTCAATGTCAGCTGTTTAGACCTGTGTGTCCTAGAAGTTTTCAGTGAAGTGGAAGGTGCATCTGAGTGAGATGGAGTAGCGGAGGAACGATGTTTCGATGATTCTGCAATGGCTTTTTCCCATGGCTTTGGCTTGTGGGGTGGTTTTACATGCAGGTTGAGCCGTAGGTTTTGCTGGTTGCAAAGACTGTTTCCAGAGGCGGAGTCTGAGTCGAGATAGGTGGGAACGGAGGACTCCTCATTTGAAATTTTTACAATGAGGGCACGAGGAGGTTTGATGCGCCTCGACTAAACAAAAAAGGCACTTTGCGTGACCATCCGACAGCGGGATCTTGTTATCGCAAATCACACAGTGCTTGAACGGGCCCAAAGGGGCCATGAACAATAATGAGAAGAAAAATAAAAATCGGAGGGTGTGTGTGCGATGGCCGGAGGCCGAGGCACGGAGGAGAAAAAACCAAAAACAGTATATATGTATCTTTGATTATTAATAAAGAGAAAGATTTTTTAAGTTCAGCAGAAAAAATTGACTTGTTTCACTTTCAGGCACACAGAAGATAGACATACAAGGCTCTTTAACGTGGCAGTTGAAAGAAATTGAAGGGAGAGTCCCGGCGCCAAGATACATATACCAAGGGGAGGGGTCTATTCTAATGTGTTTTTTGCTACCCCAGAAGCGCTAGAATATTTCGAAGAGACTCTGCGCAGGCATGGATCGCCCATGGTGTGAGTCACAGAGGCCATGAAGAAGAACATGAAACAATGGATTCAAAATACGAGGGAGAATTCGTCTAAACATTAGAAAGAATTTCCTGACAGTAAGAGCTGTTCTACAATGGACTGGGCTACTCTGGAAGAATGTAGACTTTACTGGAGGTTTTACCCACCCACTGAAAAAAGAACTCCAGAATGGTGGCAAGGCAGGACTGGGCTCCACAGAAATCATCTCGAGCTCCTATTATCCTCAAGATGCAAAGCTCAGCTCAACATCAAAGCAATACCAAAGTGTTTTTAAGCTTTCTCAATTTAGAACACATACTAACCAATTTAAGGTCTTTACATTTGGTTGGTTAATGGCACAGGGCCAAATGAAAGCCACCCTATAGCTCCTAATGCTTATATATACTCTAGACATTGTTGGCTAAAGTGATCCAGCCACTGGAAACCTTAAACACAGATTACTGCAATGTATTCTGTGTAGAACTGCTCTTGAAGACTGTTCCACAAGCTGGAGCTGGTGCAGGATGTTTCCTCTGAACTTTGCAGTGCAGCGATTAAAGAGCACCACTTTGCCCCTATACTCATGGAACCATACTGGTTCCTGCTTGCTAATAAGCCAGGCTTAAGCTTCTGTTATTAGTTTTCAGGGCCCTAGATAATTTGGCAACTAGTTCAAGTGACTACTTTACAGAGCCACAGCGTCCTTGGAGCCACCTGAAGAGGTTCTCCTGCTGATGTTACCCACTTTCTGTATGTATCCTATACAGTTGCTGAAAGTGGTCGGAATTTAATGCTGTGGCCTTAAATGAAATTGTCTCTGAAAAATGTCTCTGAAATTTGGCACATTCAGACAATCATTAGATGCATGCTGAAAGGATACCTGCTTACAAAACCTGTGTAGTCCAACCTACCATCTATTTCATCATGTAAATATTATGCTTTAAGGTTTTGCATGGTGTTTATTATATTTTTATGTTTTATTAATGTCCAACATCACTTTGAAATCTTTACATCTAAGAAATGTGTAAATATTCACAGAGTGGGATTTCTGTACTCAGACCCCATTTACTAATGAAGAACACATCCCATAATCTCACTTTCTAGTGCGACTGGTGACCACTCTATTGGAGAAGCAGAGCCCTTACTGTTACCTGGATGTACTATGAAACAGAAGAAGGATCCCTTTAGAGCAGCTGTTTCCATCTTTTGCACTATAGATGTTCTCAACTCCCAAAAGTCAAACTCAGCATAGTCAATAGTCAGAGGCTCCGAGAAATAACATTCAAAACATTTAGCAGGACAGAGGTTAAGAATCCCATTTAAAATGCTGCCTTTCACCACCTTACATTTAGAAAGTGTTTTACGGTGTTTCGTCATAAGAATCACTGATCTTCACTTTTAAAATACTGCCTTTTGCCACATTTCCACCTTGCCTGGAGTCTTTCTATTCAGCTGGCAGTTTTTGCTAGTGCTATATAAACATGAAGCATGTTAATGATGTAAGCACACACATTCAATGAGATAGAAGTACTGTGGGTGTTCAATCCCATTGAAATCTATGAGATTAAAGGCATTCTTAACTAGCTTAGAGCTTTAACTATTTCTTGTGCTGCTTTACCTCCTCAAGGGTGGAGAAGTGGCCATTACAGTCCAACACTTTCCCAGTACATTTTCCTCAGGGGGAAAAACACTGATTTAGCATTTAGTCTTTGAGACCTCCTGCACTATGATTGGTGTGATGTGTTACCTTCCTTTTTTCCCTCAGCTTAGATTTAAGGTTACATTTTAGGAAATGTGGTAAATGTGGCAAATATTTTAGTAAATAGTATAAAAGTGAACTTTTTTGGGCAGCTGTATGCAGGATCTGTATGCTCGTTACTGAAGATAGCTTTGAAAGTCTTACTGAATAGTGGCCTCCATTGCACCATGCTCCTGTTGAAAAGGTCACTGAGGCTCTCCAACATCATTCTTCCAGCGGAAGCACAGTCCTTTACACCAGATCGCAATGTATACTACCCAATGGGCACGTGATTCAAGTGGCAGTGTAGAAAAAAAAACAGAAGAAGCACTGTACTTATTTTAGCCCTCAAAAAACAAAGCTTCTAGAAAGCGATCCAGTACGCCGTTAACTTGTCAAGCGAAGAATCGTCACGCGAGCTGGGATTTTGTTGGAATGCTACTGAAATTACTGTCCTAGCTTGGTGGATGTGATTGTTTCAACTGACATGACAACCACTTGGGGGAGACAGATGTTCAGAAGACAAAGCACTGTACTCATTTTAGCCCTCAAAAAACAAAGGTTCTAGAAAGCGATCCAGTACGCCGTTAACTTGTCAAGCGAAGAATCGTCACGCGAGCTGGGATTTTGTTGGAATGCTACTGAAATTATTGTCCTAGCTTGGTGGATGTGATTGTTTCAACTGACATGACAACCACTTGGGGGAGACAGATGTTCAGAAGACAAGGTGGTGTTAACAGGCAAGGACACAGGTATGCATGCAGTGCTGGGGTAAAGAATGGGGGAAGAGACTGAACAGGATTTTATTAGAGGACAATCTTGATTTCTATCCCTTGTCTCAGAAGTTTCCCCTTACTGGCATCTTTTTAAAAAAAAAAAAACCCTTAACCTTCAAGTTTCATTCATCTCGTACAGTACATATGCCTCACTTTCTTAGCACTAGAGAAGATGAGGAACTTTGTGCTTTGGCTGGGAACTATCGTACAGAGGTTTTAAAATGCACACTGGGAGCAGTGTCAAAGCCTAGAGGGGCTGAACACTTGCTTCTTGTCATTAGCTCAACAGGTTAACTTACATTGCCTTCGCAGACCAGAAGAAGAAAGAGCAATAAAGCAGGGTTTGCCTGAGGTTGGGGGACAGAGCACCAGCAAACATACCTTCTTGGGTACAACAGAGGAAGCAGAATTAAGGGTGCTCTCGTCGTCATGCATCATGACCAGCTCAGAGCTGCTCTCATCCATGATCTCCTGCATGCTGTTGATACTGCTGCTCTGACTGCCTGTGCTTACAGACATGCTGGGGATAGAATGGTTGCTGCCCAGACTGTCCATCTTCCTACTCAGGTTTATCCCATGCTCACTCTCCTACAAAACAAGGGGCAGGAGGGTTAAACAAAATACCACCAGGGGCAAACTCCCTGGAACATATTTCCGCTGTGGGAACCATTCCATTAAAAGTAACTGCAGAAAGGAAACATTTTAACTTGTCTTAGTCAATTTCCTCTCTGGGCAGATATAAAGACCGAGGCAAGACAGGTTAACTTAAGGAGACACCCTTTTTAATGCACACTATTAATAAAATGTTTCCAACCTGCTGTAAAGACAGCAAAACAGGCTAATATTGCTAATAATGTTCTTGTGTTTTATTGTTTTATCCTATACTGGAAGCCGCCTAGAGTGGTCGAGTAGACCAGATAGGCGGGGTATAAATCAAATAAATCAAATAAATCAATCAAATAAATAAATAATTAAATAATACAGTTGATCTCATTCTTCTCCCATCTCAAAATTATGCCAACTCACACAAAAACCTTGCCTTCTGCAAAAAGCAGGGCTGGACATGGTAGCATCAGTAAAGAAATCCTTCTTCCTTCCAAGAACTTTCAGGGGCATTACTCCTCACCTTCCAAAGCAAAGCCAAGCAAACAGAGCTGCAGAGTTCCTGACTAACTCTGGTTCGCAATAATCCTCCCATGTGGTCATCCACATTTATAGGGCCAGTTATCTCAGTGAAAAGCTCTGTCCACACTGTTACACTTTCGCGGCCATTTCTGCCTTGTATTTATTTGTGTGCATGGCTGAATGTGTGTGCAAGAGCCAAAAAGGAGGAGTGTCTCTCTTTAAACAGACTGTGCCTGGCAAATGCACCTAACATTTGAAAAGGAAACTGGAAAGAGGTAAGGTTAGTGAATACATAGGAATGCATGCCATTATATCTATATGCTTTTTAAAGACTAAACAAGGTGGAGAGGGAGATGAGGGTAAGGGTTGGGGTGGAGTGAAATGGAAAACAATGGTCTAGACAATCATTGCTAAGAATATGGGATAGCCGAGTACTTAGGTCCTTCTTTCGTAATACTTGCAACTGTACATATACATATACATGAATGCAAGAACTGCATTCTAAAATAATACCTATTTTGCAGTTCTTCACTTCTTGAAATGTAGAATATATGTCACAGAAGGCAAGGACTGCCAGGGCAGACACAACCTAAATCATAGGGCTTGGCTGTAATCCTGAAGTATGCACATCACCCAAACCAAACAAAATGAAAGCAAAAAAAGAAAGAACTGCCATCACCACTGAATTATTTTTAAAACCTGTGGTGTCATAGGGGTTTCACATGGTGCTTTTTTAAAAAAAATCTCCCATTTGGAATTTCCCAGTGGTGAATAGAGACGTTTATTGACTTCACGATCTGGTAGACAGGGTCACAAGCAAAGAAGAGAATATTGGTAGGAATCTCTCTTCAGTTTTTTTTTTTCCAGGAGAAAAAGGTTGGAAGCTGATAATTTTTTCTTATCCAAAAAGTGCTGTTTTTACTATGATGACCAACGATCAATAAGCTTGGATGTTCACCTACAAACCAAAGACCCTATGTGGGTTCTTCAAAATGAGGCAGTGCCAAAAAGCAGCCTCTGCTTCTCAGCATCACCTGCACTCTTCACAAACCTGCTCATCTATTGGTTTAAACTATCTAACTTAACTTTCGCTTTCAGTTAATTTCAGTGGCACAACCATGGAGCCATATCTTATAGAAGATTTTTAATTAGAACTAAAAGCATTATTAGGCATATCAATTTTGTCACATAGGCATATTTCTGTGAGTGTACATTTCCACGGCTCTCTCGAAACACAATAAAAAACGCTTCCACCTGTGCCCCTTCTTTTCCTTGGTGCTTGAGATAAAGCATTTTAAGGTGATTCAGACAAAAATCAGCTTTTTGAAGTTTGCAGATAGGGACACCTCCCCCCAAAAGTGGTGTAGTAGATAGAGTAATGGACTAGGACTCAGGAGATTGGGGTTCAATTCCCAGTCTCTACCATAGAAACTCAATGGGAAGTGGAACTGGTAAAACCACTCCTTCAATAGATGTGTTACCTTGAAAGCCCTATTAGGGAGGCCATAAGTCTGTTCTGACTTGGCAGCACAGAACACACGTACTAAAGAACACAGAACTCCCTACTATGCTGGAATTATGTGCGCGATTAACCCAAAGAATGAGGGCAAAACATGGGTGAACAAAGTTGCAAAGAGTCACACCTCCTTTTGGGAGCCGGAAAGAATCTATGCCTCAGAGGTGGCTGGTTTCAATCCTAGCACAGAAACTAGTAATACTGTATACAATATATATATTTTAAGGCTGAGCATGTCAGTTTGTGACAGATCAAAAGTGCAGGTAAGAATGACGGGACATGTTAAATGTCTGACATGACATGTTAAACGTCTAAAGGAACTGAAAGATGCTACACACCACTTCCTGTGAAGTAACACAACATTTATTTTGCATAAGCCTCTTTTCCCCATGTGCAATTTTTTTAAAAAGCTGTTTTTTGTCCAAATGACTTTTAAATGCCTTACCTTAAGCATCAAGGGAAAGCGCGGGGGGGGGGTTGATAGAGCCCTAGAAACTTATACTCGCATAATCATCCTACTTGGAGATTGTCAAAAATATTAGGTGCTCTGCAGCCTTCAGCGTATCTGATTTGTACAAATACCAGATCCATGCATGTGCATTGTTTATAGGGAATGTTGTAATAAGATTATCAACACACAGCTTTGTCACACTGTATGACAATATTTGAAGGGCCAATGGAAAGTTCATGCGGGACTGCTAAAAATATGTCTTGGTGAGGGCAACTTCTACCTTGCTATTTTTGTGACGCTTCTCCAAAATCTGTCTCATGCCATAACGGTCCAATCTGTATCTCCGTGTTGATTCTCTGTCCTGCTTGGTGTAAAATCCTGATTCCTATGCCTTTATTTTAACTATTTTGTAAGCCACCTCCAGGCTGAATTGTTGTGTAAAAAGCTTTCTCTGGTTTGTTCCAGTTTCAGCAAGGGGCAAGTATATGTTATGGCAAACATGTGTCATTTGCAACTCTGCACTTACATTTTTTTCTTTGCTAAAAAAGTACTGTGGGAGGAACACTGACTGCAATTAGGCCACAATATAGTGGGGAAAAGTTTCTACCTCTGCTACAATCCTGCTCCTATCCAAGGAAGCAAAAAACAAGTCTACATTTGCACACTGTATACTTGATGTATCATACAATTTAGTCTACAATGACCCTTGGTACCATAAAAATGTATAAATATGCCAATTTTTGTTTAAAATGAAAGAAACACTGGATCATAACTGGATTAAAGCACAGAACATAACCAGATTCAACATGAAATACTTCCATCTGGGTCTGGACAGTAGACAGCATTGCAGAGGACCAGGGAACAATAAGGGTTGGGAATCTCAAAGCAAACAGGGGGATTACAGGGATGAATAACTTTATTCCTAGCTCGCTCTGGTACCTAGGACTTCACAAGCTTTTTGCATCAGTGTTTGTTCTATAGCAACAAAGGTCCATTTCTGCAAGACTGGGAAACAGAGACCAAGGTGAGGTTAGCTCTCCCCTCACCACCTAAATGTCTTGGCTGCAGAGAATGTAGCTCCTGAGTCTATTTTGCATCACTTCTCTCTGGCCAGAGCAAAGCTGTTTGCTGTGTAAAATGGGCAAACTGTTCCAGATGCTTATCAGGTGCCCCCATCCTGAAGGAACTCATGAAACAATCAGGTCCAGTTTGCCACTATTCTTTGAGATCAGGAGATGGCCTGCAATTAGTCAAACACTACCTATAGCTATTGTTGCATACATTACACTGACCATATAGATTCTGTTGTACTCTCTTTCACATAAAGACAAGCAATCTGACCAGTTTGCCTAAAACACTGACAGATTATATTTTCCTGTTTTCTTCTCTTAAAAATTGGTGCGTCTTATGGAAAGGTGCGTCTTATGGTGCGAAAAATACGGTAGATTCTGTTGTACTCTCTTCCACATAAAGACATGCAATCTGACCAGTTTGCCTAAAACACTGATAAGAGTTGCTTGCTCAACAAATTTCAGCTCTCACATAATGAAAAAAGTCAGGGTGACCAGCATGTTGGCCTTCCCTGGATCAGTGGTCCCCAATCTTGGGCCTCCAGATGTTCTTGGACTACAACTCCCAGAAGCCTTCACCACCACCTCTGCTGGCCAGGATTTCTGGGAGTTGAAGTCCAAGAACATCCGAAAGCCCAAGGTTGGGGACCACTGCCCTAGATAACTCATCTGGTCTTGCACAGCTTTTCCCATATAGTCCGGAGATGGAAGCTCCTTCACCTAGAGCAGGTGTATTCTTAGCAACCCCATTCTGAAGTTGCTTTGGAGTCTGATTAAAGTCTTTTCATGACTAATGACTGGCAGCTGACTCTGAAGACTTCAAGGGCTTTGTTTCCATTTGTTTCAGTAACTAACTGAAAGATAGGCCAGGCCAGGCATCAGGCACAAGCCAATCCTGTTGACCACAAAATTCCACAAGTCTTGCTGGTGCCTGTGAAAAGAGCAGGGGGAAATACCACATGCAATTTGAGACTCTTTCTCCCCCATCACTGGTATAGATAAACATGATACCTCCTCCTCTTCCTGAGATTCGTTCAGAGGGCCATTGTGGGCCTCCTGGAAGAGGATTTTCTTCATTTTCCGATACTGCAGGTTATCCAGCTCTCGAACAGCATCCTTCGTCCTTTGAATCAAGTCTATTAAAACACGTGGAGGCCGCTCACAGCGAACAAACTCATGCTGGTTTTAGAAGGGACACAGAAGCACTTGGGTCAGGAAAGAGAGAACACACAAAATACCCCACACCTAGTGTACTTCTATACTTTCTGAAGGGCAATGTATTAGTTTATTTGACTTGTATCTTCACATATCAGAAGTGAAAACATTATTTTTGATGATTTTAATGTTAACTACCTAGAAATACTTGTATAAAGTAGTGTGCATGTACTATAAATAAAATACCAGAGGTATGCAATCTGTGGCCCTCCGACTCTTGAAGTACAAGTTTCATCAGCCTTAGTTAGAAAAGCTAATTAGGAATGCTAATAGAGGCTGCAATCCCAACAACATGCAGTAGGCCACAAGTTGCCCAGGACTACTGTAGACGATTTGTCATGATAGCCCCCAACACTAACACATGGTCACATTCCATCTACTTGAACCTCTGATTCGTAGAACCACAGAACAATGGAGCTGGAAAGGGCCTATAAGGCCATTGAGTCCAACCCCATGCTCAATGCAGAAATCCAAATCAAAGCAGATCTGACAGAGAGTTGTCTAACACTCCTTAAATGCCTCCAGCGCTGGAGCACCTTCGACCTCCCAAAGTAATTGGTTCTGTTGTCATGTTGCTCTAATAGTTAGGAAGTTTTTCCTGATATTCAGTTGAAATCTGGATTCATGTAAACTAAGTCCATTATTACGTGTCCTACACTCTGGGAAGATGAAGAACAGATCTTGCCCCTCCTCTGTATGACAGCCTTTCAAGTCTTTGAAAAGTGCTATCTTATCTCTTCCTAGTCTTCTTTTCTCAAGGCTAAACATGCCCAGTTCTTTCAGCCTTTCCTCACTGAGCTTGACTTTCAGTTCCTTGATCATCCCTATTGCCCTCTTCTGAACTTGCTCCAGTTTGTCGGCATCGTTCCTAAAATGTGAAGTCCAGAAATGAACATGGTACTCAAGATGAGGCCTAACCAGAGCTGAACAGAGGGGACTCTCTGATTAACAGGACGGCCACAAGCATGCTATGGTGATTGCAGATATCCTTGCTACAGAACAGGAAAACAGATCTTCACAATATGTCTTCCTAGATGAGGCTGTGCTCCTTATTAATCTCTTGGTTTTCCATTCCATCTTTATCTCCCCCTGTGCTCCTCATCTCACACATTATGTTCTCTATCAGCCTTCTCTGTTTCCTCTGATTAACAGGACGGCCACAAGCTTGCTATGGTGACTGCAGATATCCTTGCTACAGAACAGGAAAACAGATCTTCACAATATGTCTTCCTAGATGAGGCTGTGCTCCTTATTAATCTCTTGGTTTTCCATTCCATCTTTATCTCCCCCTGTGCTCCTCATCTCACACATTATGTTCTCTATCAGCCTTCTCTGTTTCCACCATCATTTCTAAGACAACGTAGTTAAAATGTAGTCTCACAATACTACCGTGTTTCCCCGAAAATAAGACAGGGTCTTATATTAATTTTTGTTCCAAAAAACACATTAGGGCTTATTTTCAGGGGATTTTTATTTTACAGTCATGTCATCTTCTGATTGCTGCTCAATGCTGCACAATGGTGGAGGGCAGGTTTTCACTTAACTGGGGCTTACTTTGGGGGTAGGGCTTATATTACTAGCATCCTGAAAATCATACTAGGTCTTATTTTCAGGTTAGGTCTTGTTTTGAGGGAAACAGGGTATTGTTTGGACTAAAAGATTATCCCCTAAGTGGTGGCAGTTGTTGAATTACAATGCATGCTTCATGGTGGTTAATCCCAGTTGAAGCATCATGTTTGGAGTATACTTAAAAGGTGAATAGGTGACCTCCTAAAATAGGGGTGAGAAACATGGTGAGTGTGGAACAGACGGTTCTCAATGGAATGGCCTCAGATTGACTACATGCTGGATTAGGTCCACTGGCTGAAAAAACAACAACAACAACCTGTGGATAGATGGCTCTCCCCTAGGCAGTTTTTCCCAACCTCAGATCATGCTATTATGCCCCCTTTTCCACACGTACATCCTCCCAGAAAGATTTGAAAAATTACCCGCAATAGTTCTGCTGATGATGGTCTTTCCTGAGGTATTTTCTGCAAGCAGTAATCAACAAATCCCCTAAATGAATCCGTCCTGTGTATAAGAACAGAATATACGTGAAAATACATTTAAATTTGAGATGGCAAGGAAAATAAAGCATGTACCAGATGGGAATCAGCAAGATGCCAAAAAGTGAGAAATCAAATCAAGCTTGCATTTAGAAATTCAGACCTAAAGCATGTACAGTCACCTTCAGTCATCAGCCAGATCCATCTAATATAACCAATGTGATGGAACAGGTTAGAGCACCAGTTCATACAAGTGTTACACAGGTTCAAAACGTTGGTTAGTTTTTGAGAAATAATGGCTGCTCTTTCACAAGTCACTCTCATCCCAATTTAATATCTTTTACAGGAATATCAAGAAAAATATACATTGTGTTCAGAGGACTTACCAGTGAAGCAAACTTATCTAAATGAAAAACAGAAACATTCTACTTCAACCATTTTAAGAGAGCAGTCATCATCACTATAGTTCAAGTAGTCTACACAATTAAAAAAAAGGGGGGGGAGGAGATGTAACAGCCTAATCCACAACCTGGTATATATGTGGAGACGTTCAGCCCACTATACTGATTTGTTGTAACTATTTAGAATTTAAGGAGAGATATAATTACTTCTTTCTGCATGTGTCCTACACACAAAATGTGGATTGTCTCTCCAAGACTTGGTCCTCTGCTCAATATGTTTTGAGCTTAAATGTCCAAGTCTCTCCCCACAAAGACTCTTTACATTTTTATGAGGGAGACTTGCATGATGCAGCTAGCAGGAAATACTTATCCATTCTTTCGGGATGGAAGAATACGGAAAATACATAATTCCTGCAAAACTGACTGTTAATAAGAGATGCCACGAACAACAAACACATTTGCTGACACTGCCTTTGCATTGCGTTGGAACAAAGAATTTCATGATAATATTCCAGCCATTTCTGTTTCTCTTTTTCATCAATTTGTCATTCTATGTACCCATAAAATGGATTAATTCACAGATTCAGAGCTGCTTTTATGGACTACTGCTCCCAGAATCCTCCATCCCACTAGCAAAGGATTCTGGGAGCAGTATCCAAGCTTTGGAGCATCTTCTATATTAAACTGAATTGAATTAGATTAAAATAGATGACAGGTGCATTTGCTATTGATACTCTGCTGCTTCTTGCCATGAACCTGTAGGGCACTGAACCACAGAAAGGGAAGAGAAGTATAGGCCATCACTCAGTGCAGAGCAGATGATTCTATGTTCATTCCCTAGTATTTTCTCTTGAATGGATCAGGTCAAGTACCTGAAAGTCCCAAGCTGATGCTTCCAGCTGTTGTACACAGTGTTGGGCTTCGTGGAGCAGTAGGCTGACCTGGTATAAAGAAGATTCCTTTGGGGGGGGGAGTCAATTTGAGTACACATGGACTGAATACATGTCACTCACAATGCATGTATCTGTTGCAGGAACCATCAGTCTAAGGTCAACATGAATGGAATTTATAAAAAAGCTTAGAGCCACTGGCGTGTTGCTCTCCCATACTCATACCACTGTATCATAACAGCTTTCATTTGCAGGTTGTGCCGCAGGTGAGAACAAGGACCTTGTCTTCAATGCTAGAAGAAACTGTTGCAAAGGAACACCTGGAAATGCTCAAAAGCAGCAGTGAAAAGCGGATGGCAGCATTCTTACCATTCATTTGACTGTAGTGTAGGGGAGTCATTCTGGGCTATATGATATAAGGCACTCATAGCATTCATATTGAACAGGGGAGGCTTCCGTTCCGCTGCAAGCAGAGAGAAAGGGAAGAATGAGAACTGGAGCAACTGACTCGTCACAAAGTCTTCTAGTATGGATTTGGGAAGTCTGTGACCACTATTGCAGACGCGTAGAGGGGAAATAAAAAATATCCGAAGGCAAAGAGAAAATGTTACTCAGACTATCTCTACTGGAAGCACGTTCAACATTTCTTTGGGAAGATTAAGCAACTGCCAAGGCATCAGGTGAATGCAAAACTCAGCTGAGCATGGAATGAGGTGTGGACTGCACAAGCTTCTATCAGTGGGATTCTATCTAAATCATGCTAAAATTTGGCAAATGCAGAGGTACATATGCTCAGCAATGGATAGCTCAGAACTCTGGAGAAATAAAGAGGAACCACAACGAAATAAGTTAGTTTATAGTTTATATATAGTGGTGCCTCGCATTACAACGTTCGAGGAACCACAACGAAGTAAGTTAGTTTATAGTTTATATACAGTGGTGCCTCGCATTACGACGTTAATTCGTTCCAGCGAAATCGCTTTAGAACGAAAACGTAAAGCGAAAATAAAAAAGCCATTGAAACGCATTAAAACCTGGTTAATGCATTCCAATCGGCTAAGAACTCACAGTCCAGCGAAGATTGTTCATAGGCGCGGCCATTTTCAGGTGCCTATGCAGCGAAAAATGGCTCCTAAACACAGTGGGGAGCCATTCTGAGCACCCGGTGCCCATTTTGAAAACCCGACGATCAGCTGTTTTGATTGTTGGGAAGCGAAAATCGGTTCCCGAAACAGGGAACCGATCATTGCGCAGTGAAATTCCCCCATTCAAAATGTTGTTTTGCAATCGCAAAAACCTCGTCGTAATGCAGATTCGTTGTTAAACGGAGCACCCGTCTTGCGAGGCACCACTGTACTTAGTTTATAGGAATGGGGGGAAAGAAGATATAATGGATATTAAATGTATTCCTAAAGAAGACTGTGAGCAATAAGAGTAATGTCGACAGGACAACCCAAATTCTGTACCAAAAGAAGCTTAATTCTGTAATCTCTACAGATGATGCCGATTGTCAAACATTTTTTTCATTCTGCGTATTTGAGAGATCCTGGGGAAAATATTTAAAATGAATAAGGTGTTCTAATGTGTTATAAATATCAGCAGTGATTTTTTTAAAAAAAACAAAGCATTGTTTTAATTATTCGAATGGTGAATAACAATGTTTTAACATTTTCAATTGTAGTAGTTATTTCAATTGCTTTTCAATTGCTTGTAGTTATTTCCAGCAATTCTAAGTGATATTCTAAAGTTTAATGATGTGACAATTTATTAGTTCTTAATATTTCAAGATCAACATATTATATTGCCTTAACAATTTACTACTACTATTTTTTTTCCAAACTCTGCAATTTATCCTGTATTCTTCAGTTACAGGAATGAACTAGATCAGGCCTCTTGTATATCAGCAAAGGGCCTGCCATGAGTCCTTTTCAATGGCGGCACCTTGGTATGTGAAATTCCTTCTGTAGAAGCACTGGTTTGGTTCTAGCTCTTGCTTATTCTCATTTCACTTTTTAAATTTAGATTTATAAAATACCCTATAAAAATGCTTCCAGAGAAGCTAACAGAATAAAACAAAATGCTAAACCACAGTAACAGAATTTCAAACACTAAAATGTGAAATGTAAAAATAACCTCAGGTTAAAATCAAGAAGAGGGAGGAAAACAAACTATACATGATATAAACAGACTTAAGAGCTATGGCATGTATTAACAGAGTTAGAAAACCTGAGAAAATGGAATGGTCTCTGTCTGGTGCCAAAGACCCACTCAAGAATATACCAGGTAGGTCTTTCTGTAGAAGGCATTCCTGTCAGTTGAATAGACTTCTTCTTCTTCTTCTTCTTCTTAGTCAGAGAATCTCTCTTGAATAGACATTTATTTTATTTTATTTTATTATTTTTTTGCTTATGAGGACCTGCCACACCTCATTCTGGACGGGTTTCCAAAGAAGGGCCTTAAATCTTTAACTTAGGATCTGACTGGAATACAAGAATGAAGCAATCCTTCAAAGATTGTAGTTTGAGGCCATCAAAGAAAGGACTTGGCAAGTCAAAACCAATAGTCTAATTTAAGTACAAAATCCAACTGGAGTACAGCAAATATGCTAAAGCATGGCTATTAACAAATTTTTAAATACTGTACCCTTAAAGCCGTATCTTGAAACCACCAAGGTTTATGGACCATTTTCAAAAGCAAAATTACACGTAATGCATTCTGATAATCTAAGAAAGAGATATCAGGCATCAAGACAGATTTCCCTGCTTGGTCATTTAATGTTTGGGAGCATTTAGCCTGTTTTTGCATTGTTTCTTTTCTATATTATTGTAGGCGCTTGTAGGTTCTTGATTCGACTGTGTACTATTTCGTTGTTGTTTAGTTTTAGCTTTGGGAATATCCCTGTGGATTTTCTGAAATAGAAAAACGGAGTCTCATTTTTAAATATAAGATGAATAAGCAAGCCAATCTGAAGTCATAAGGCTTATATGTTTTGTTAAATCTCATCGTGGCTATCGTGGATGCAGTATGCCTCTGTAGATCATTTGCTGAATAACATGATAAAGGAGAATCTGTTTAGCCTGCCTGCTGCTTTTGGGCTTCCCTGAGACATTTGACTAGCTACTGCGGGAGCAAATCCTAAACCAATATGGTGTTAACTTCAACTCCTGTTAATCCCAACCAGCACATTCAATGGGCAAGACTGACTTGCCTAGCCATATCAGGTGGGCCAAGTGTTCTGGAAACTTCAGAGAGACCCCTGGTATGATACAGCACAGTCCCTCCTGTGTTCTTATGACCGGTTCCATTAGATACTCTGAAGAAATTTCATCAGCTCCTAACTAAGCACAAATTGAAACGTGAAGAAATCTGCTATTTCACTTTTGGTATATCCTCCAGTCCCCACCTCACTCTCCAGCAACCTCCGTCAATTGACAAGAGATATTCCATGTGCTGACAACACATCTCTGTGAGGGCTTTGCACACCATATGTTGCTACCGAGCAACGAAGCATTTGCTGTTTGGTGGCACTATCTGAGAGAGAGACTGCCAATGAAGTTGCTCCTTGTGTGGCAAAATAAATGGTTACATGGCAGGTCAGTACCTGGAGAAGGTGGATTTGGACGTCCCTACCAGTGCAGGGATGTGGGTGGTGCTGCGGGTTAAACCGCAGAAGCCTCTGTGCTGCAAGGTCAGAAGACCTGCAGTTGTAAGATCGAATCCACACGATGGAGCGAGCCCCCATCACTTGACCCAGCTCCGCCAACCTAGTGATTGGAAAGTATGCAAAATGCAAGCAGATAAATAGGGACCACCCAGCTCCGCCGACCTAGCGATTGGAAAGCATGCAAAATGCGAGTAGATAAATAGGGACCACCTTAGTAGGAAGGTAATGACGTTCCATGTCTAGTCGCGCTGGCCACGTGACCACGGACAAATGCTGGCTCTACAGCTTGGAGACAGGGATGAGCACCACACCCTAGAGTCAGACACAACTGGACAAATTGTCAAGGGGAACATTTACCTTTACCTTACCAGTGCGGTAGGTTGGTCATTTTCAATGTCTGTGTGTGCTTTACTTACCTAACTCTATGCACGTGATTCCAAGAGACCAAATATCTACTTTTCCATCATATTGCCCCTCATCCATAGCCAGAATTACCTCAGGAGCCATCCTACAAGGCAGGGATACAAAGAGTATTGAGATGAGAAGGTGTTCCATCAACATCCCCCCCCCCCTTTC